ACATTTGTCGCGAAAAGAATCAGGCGTCACGCACACGGGGCTGGGCGCCAAGGACCACCAGTCACTGAGCCAAGGGTCATTGTTCAACAAAGTTCTCGAAATGGGTGGGAGCATGGGTATGGCTGCGTGAGAATGCGGAGAGCTCAGTAGTCCAGGGACCAATTGGATATCCGCTGTCTCAGGGACCCTCACGTCTCCACAGTCGGTCCGATGAGGCTGTCGGCATGTATGTACTTGCAGCAAACCACAATGCGGTGTTAACCTTTCTTGGAACAGAAAGCATCAGACCATTGCTGTTGCCTTCAGTTACGATACCCCGGATTCCCACATTCCAAATCTCCAGATTTCGGTGCCAGAAAACTGACAAGCAGCAGATATCCGACATGTTTCGGGCGCCGACACTCGGGAAAGGGGCAACTCAATATCGACAGGGCTGATCAGCCTTGCATGTCCTTGCAACGCCACCCTACCAATTTTGCAGCCTTGTTCAGACAGTGTCTCCTGTTCTTGTTCAGTACACAGTGGATGAAACTCTTGTCTTTGGACTCCCACAGTAGGGCGCAATTCATCATCCACCAGCATCTCCAGGTTGACACCCGGTTTCCGGACAAGTGACATCGGACGACGGCCCATCCGGCTGTCTCCGTCGGATATTTTCCTCGATCGGAACCGGGATCACTTTGTTCACACCATCACGGCATCGGTTCCGTCACTCCATCAACAACGTCTGCCGTCTTTTCCCGGTATCGCGGAAGTCTCCGGACAAATGTTTCTTCCCCTGTTATCTCGAGACTTCCTGTTTAGGGATTTCCCCAGACTTCATGATTTGGTTGCGGGGAAGCGAGAAAGACGTCAGCTCGCTTAAGTGAAGAGGCCGCACACACACACACACATCTGTAACCTCTGCCGTGCCGCTTCTCCCCTGTCCCATTTTCACACCCATGACCATTCACAAGCCGTTCATGACCACTTTCTCCTGCGGTGCTCCGCGCGCAACTGCTGCATGCTATATTGAATAAGACCAAGGCTAGCCAATCAGGCTTCATTTCTCAAACAATAATGCCGAAAGGTATTTTGCATGGCCATTCTAAACTTTTACTCCGCGCTTCGTTGACGTACGTCGCATCGCACAACCTGGGGACGCAGAAAAGGGTCTGGAGTTTGGTCTTGTGCCTTGTCACGTTCTCGTCACTTTGTTGCTTTCTTCCTTCATTGCAAGTCGATTCTAAGGGCTTTGTTGCTTGGCTAATGTCGCCATATGGTAGTATCAGTGCTGTCGGACCGATGACTACGCAGTAAACGAGGAGAATATCCAGATCTGGAAGTGTTAGCCTTCATTTTAGTGTAGAAGCTTGTCGTCCAAGGGTTCTTCAATCCGAGATTCCAAGATCCTAATCACATCAAATGAAACCTCCGACCGCGCTATCCCCGCATTTCCATCTCTTTTCTGCAATGCAGGTCCGGCTGTAACCTATTTCTCCTTGCCATGCATATTTCATCGCGACATCGTTCTTGGAAGGTGCGGGGATGGATTCCACCTTGGATCGAAATCCAACCCCATGAACCTGGGGGGAGATATCATCAAGGGATCGCTAAAAAATCTGGGGTCGGTTCTGGTCGCGAAAAGAAAAGCCACATTCACATGCATTTCCATGTGTAGGAGCATTCAGGAGGAAAAGGACACTCTGCCCCTTTCAATCATCTTCTTCGCCCGCTCACACTACTACTCGCAGGACCTCCGCAGCGTCGAGTCGGTCCTTTTATCCTTTCTCTCCTAGGCTACTTACCTTCCAGCTCTAACGGCGCACACGCTGTGAGGCTTAACGCCTCGGCGTTGTTGCTTGGAATGCTTCTAGCTCTTCACGGTGTCCAACATGGCGCTGGACTAGTGACAAGAAAGGGAAATCTCGGCCGTCGCTCACGGTATTTACAACATGATAGCCTACGTACCTATTTACTACCTCGCTTAAAACAAGTCGACTGCTTACATGGATCTGCAACAGCCACTAGAAACAGATACGCGAGCCCCAGACTGTTGACCCGTTCCATGCTTGTGACACTGGACATTGGAGTAACGAATTAGGAAGCTCCTTGATACCACGGTGTTTCAAAGGACCTTGAGGGCCGCGATCGGCCGCTGGGACAAGAGAGCAAGGCCGTCGAACAAGGCCGTCGTCGCGCCATTGCCAATACTCCCTTCTTTTGCATAATGCTTTACGACATGGCATGTCGAAGGACCCTTATCACCGGCATCGTTCTCAGAAAAAAAATCCACGAACAGGGTCATGGCGAGATAGTAGACCTGACAGTCATGTCCATCTCCATACTACATACCTCTACTCACCAAGACCAAGACACAAAGAGAAAAAGGATGTGGATACTGAAGTTAGTCCTTCCTTCCTGCCATGTCGAATCATGCATCCGTTTCTACCTACCTCAGAGTCTTGTCTGACCTCCAATCGGACTGGACTTTTCGATGTCACGGCCCATTACTGCAGGTACGCTTGCTTGCACTTGCCGTGGGTACGCAATCCCTTGGGTATCTAGGTACACAGTCCTTGATCAATCAATCAAGAAAATACATTACTGTATCAGGTCCCAGGAATCATAAGCTGTGACTCGATCCCAGATCAACAACAGCAACACTCCGACACTCCGACACTCCGACATGCCAGTCAAGTCTGAAGCAAGCCCCGTGCGGAACCCCTTTCATTTCTGTCGTTGATGTTTCCTCCCGCTTTATGCCAGTTTTGGGGTGCTCACTCGGGGTAGTGTATCTTGCTCGATTCTAGGTAGGTAGGTATGCTATTGATGCTGAGTGTTGGTAGAGATTTTGGGTCTCATCGAACGTGGAGGTCTAGTCGTCTCTATCACGTTATGTCATGCTTGTGGGCTACAGATGGTGTCGAGTGTCTATGTCTCCATCTCTAGAGGTACATACCTTCTTTCAGCTATCCATAGATACATTAGGCTATACTACTAGTGACACTACCTCTAGATGATCTGTCTATCATCATTTACCTACTTACTCAGGTAAATACCAACAAGCCAACCTTTACCCCTTTTTTTCCTATCCGGGTAGGTACACAAAAAACAACAGGCACGCTTGATGCTGCCGTGAACAAAAACACATCGATTGTAACTCGACTAGCTTCCATAGCGGCATTTTCTATACAATTACCTAGGTACCTACCGACATGACCTACCTACCTACCCACCTCACCTCATTGGATCCCTGCTTTCCCCCCTCGTTGCATATACCCTCCAAAGCACGCGCAAGCGGAGAGAGGGAGGGAGGGAAGGGTACAGACGGCCGAGCGGGCCTGGCTAAGTGCCACACTTACCTCATCGGAGGTACCCAGCTTTTACTACCTTTATAGGTATGATACATGTACATCAGATCACAGCAGTCGTGTACGAAATGTGATGCCCCTCTCCTTCCTTCTGAATGGCTCGGCGATTGATCCCGGCCTCTTTGGTGTGGTGTGGTGTGGTGTGGTGTATACGCGTTAGTTAATGGAAAGATGGGTGAGGAGGAGGAGAAAGAAGGGGAAAAATAATGTGAGTGCGGAGTGCGGAGTACAGGAGGTGGTCACTTGGTTAGAGGTAGGTAATCACTTTGAGACTAGACTACGAACCCAGAGAGGGGAGGTAGCATGCGTCCACATCGCTAGGTAAGGGAGGAAAAAAAAAAAAAAAAAAAAAGGAAAACAAAAGAAAGGACCGGTGGAGTGTTGATTGTGTCTGCTTGTGCTTTGTGAAAGAGCTTGAGCACCGCACTTTTTGAGAAAGGTATATTATAATAGAGGCGAGATCCCTTGTAGTCTTAGGAGGTTCTTGATGTCCCGTCCTAGTATGTGGCGACTAAGAGAAGGGAGGGGGGGGGGATGTTCGTGCGTGCGAAATTTGTTGGTACCTGAATAGGTAGGCATTAGACAGTGGGTAGATATAGACCCAGATCTGGGGTTCAATCTCCGAGGAGGGGGCCGAAAATCGTCAGGTAGGTACCGTTAGGGGCTTGGCTGGATGAGAAGAGGGAGGGGCCAGTCTCCGTCTACCATCTACCATCTCCCGTCTTCCTCTCCGCGATAGTTTTAATGAGGTCGAAAGCCAGGAAAGGGGGAGACAAGAAAGGGACAAGATGTTGGGATGTTGTTGTGAATCAGTGAAATAAAAATGACCGGTGACGTTCGTTTGTTTGTGTCCCATAGTTGGGAATTGGTCTGAATGAATGTGGTAAGTGATGGACTGATGGGTGGTGCTGTGAAGGTGGCTGTACTGCCGTTGTTGATTCAGCTTGAGCTAGCTGTGTATGTAAAGTTCTCTGTTAGTGTAGGGACGTCTCATCATTGATCTTCCTCCTGTCGTTGCCTGTCTTTCAGCCTCCTTTTGGCCTTTGTCCGCCGTTTTCATAGCAATCGTTCCTTCTCCTCCTATTAGAAGTAAGTAAGAACGCCCAGATTCTCTTTCAAAAAATTAATCCGCCTTTCGATATTTCTTGGTCTTTTCGTCCCTCCTCCCAATCGTAGGTACCCTTTGCCAGCAATGTTCCTTCTCCCATCCGAGCGTTAGTCCATGACCGTCAGCTGAATGGTGCTATTTGGGTTTGCCTTCCGGACACTTCCGTTCGTCGCGACTCTTGTCCACTCGATGCTGTCACCAACTCGAGAACTGGAGACGATCCTGGATGCTAGGATTGGGAAAGCAAGCGACACTAGTAGGATGACCATGGACTGCAGTGGACTTGAGCAGAGAGTGCGCTTGCTCCCTCGCTCCTTCCGCGACTATTGGTGTAATAGGAGGAAGCCATCACGCCCATGCCATATCATGCATGTTGCAAAGAGTCAAATGAAACATGGACCGTCCTCGTCCCCTTCGCATCCTTCATTCCTGCCATCGCCAGGTCCTTCGAGTGAACGTTGAGTTGTAAGATCGTACACTCATCGTCAAGGTTCCGGCCTCGTCAAGACAGCTCTGTGTTGGACACTCAGTCACTGGGAGTGGAGGTAACGGGATATGGACAGACAAAAGCGGTGAACAGAAGGCACAACCAAATGCGAACCTGAAGGTAGGAAACATGAGCGAAAGAATCAAGGCTGTCGTGCTAACGTAAGGCAACTTTGCACACAAACAGATACGATACACGACGCCGACCGGTTGACAGTTTTAGTAACTCCGTCGTGTCCGGTCGTGTTCGGGTCTGGTCGTCTTACATCATCGTCAGCCCAGTTCGTGTACTTTGGGGTACGATGCGCAACGTTACTCAAACTAAAACTCCATCTCTTTGCAAAAGATGATCGGCCAAATCGCAAAGTCACTGACATCCACATCCAGTCAACATGGAGGTTTTTGTTTGCACCAGGATTTCTCCCAGCCTCCAGCCCTGATTGGAACTTTCGGTCACCTGCCTTCACGTATCGGCGCCTTCCCTCTATTGCCTCCCGGATTAGAAACGCGCAGCCGCGTTCCGCAACCCAGCGATACGGCGGCGGCTGAGCCGCATTCCTGGGAGTCTCTGGGAAGTGGGTGACTGAATGGGCAAGTGGCGGGATCCGACTTCAATCGGCCGGCCCGGAGCGGGGGCGGAGACGGCACGTGTTAGAGGATGATCGGATTGGCCATTATTATTGGGACCCTGCTTCTGCTATGTAGCTTGCCCGAGCTAGCCGAGCCTAAAAGGACGTGTTGGCAAGCCAAGTGGTGGCCAAACTTGGCCGAGACATCGCTAACGAGCAACATGCCGTGCCGGGGAAAGAAGTGGAATTGGAACAGCCGAGTTCATTCAAGCATGTTCCAAAGAAAGCCCTGTGAGACCTTCCCGCATAGGCGTTGAAGAAATGCAACAAGACGATGTCGTGCACGGAAAGATGCAGAGCGGTTGATGGCATGGCAGGTGACTGGTGGAAGCCCGGTAGAAGAGAAGCAAGCACTACAAGCTTGTTACGCCTCACACGAGTGGACGCCTCCCCAGCCTCTGTTTGTTGTCATACTTCCAAATCCTCCTCGGAGAATATCCGTTGACATGGTGAGGTAGAGGTACGTAACAAGACTTTCTGTCCAGAGTCCAAGTGCACACACATTATGCGAACAGGCCGATGTCATGTTACCTCCGATCCAGCTCTGGTGATCCCCCGCACTTTTCCCATTTGCCCATTTCATGATTACCTACCTTTTTGCTTTATCAGGCGGCAGTCAATATGAGATAGCAACGATGATTTGTCTGACTGTAGCGACTCCATACCTCTATGTCATGGATATTGTTGTTTTCCATTGGCAGAGTTGCACCGGTCGTGGAAACTAGCTGAATACGAGAAATGCTGAGTGCCGATCGTGTCCAGAAACCTCCACTTTTACCCGCTGCCATGGTCCTGCCACCGCTGTGAGGATGGTGTGAGGATTTGTTTGTTCGTCGATACGAAGGCTGAAAACTCCAGAGATGGGAGCATGAATCGAATGTTGAGGACCGTTTGGTTCCGCTCCCTCGAAGTTTTGGTTTTGCTTGTACGGTTCTGATGTCAAAAGAGCTGCCAAGCCTGTACCACTTGGTGTTTGCTTGTCTTTCCGAGTGTTTCTCCTGCAAAGCCGTTACTAATTAATGGTTACACAACATCGTTGAGGCTCGGTGAGTGAACCAGCCTCTCCAGAACTCTCAAGCCAAGCTAACAAACAAAAGCAATGGGTAATACGGAGTTTCATGGCATCCAACCATTGTCAAAGGTTGCAAGCCTCCGTACTCGATAAGGAGTAGTTTACACTAGTTGCTGACGAGATCTTTTTAGGGGTGTTCTTGGCTATCTCTAGTTCGTAGGTTGCAAAACCTGGGCCAGTCAAGACAAGATGGGTTACTGCATGGAGTCAAAAACACGGGCTTGGCATCGCCAATGGTTGATGGCTGCGGCGGCATGCTACCCTACTCGGCTCTGACGACCTACCACTTTCCACCTGGGCTGTTTACACATCTGCCGGGGGGGAAACGATATTTGAATCCTGTGCGAATTCGCGGTCAGTAGGATAGGTAGGTGACAAAGATGAATGAGAAGTGGAAGTGTCTACAGAAGAATAGCACTCGTACCGGCAAGAAAATCTACTTTTCTGTAGGCTAGAAGGATCACGCTAACCGTTTTTGCCCCGGCAGAGGTCCAAGTACCCCATTCCTTCGAATCGGCCACTGCACTGCTTTCCGCCGTTTTCCTTACCCATGACGTCTAACAAGGCAATCGGAACTGCTGGCTGCATAGTGTGGAGACTGGGGAATTCTATTTGCGGTAACAAGATGTTGCAAGTGTCCGTATGGTACGTAGCTTTCGCAGTGTCCCTCGCGTCGTGGGTGGTGACTGACTGGTGGATCTCCGCACCCAACCACCACCAAGTTACACCCGCACGATGCCGTTTAGTCCGTTCTTTCCATTTCTGGGGTGCTGATGTTGTGTTCGTGAACGAGAAGAAGGAGCTACACCAAAGGTAGAAGGGAGGGATGATCTTCGGGGTGCATATAAGGGTCCTACTCCCTCCTTCTGAGACATCGAGCCTTTGCATTCCACATCAGCATCCAGCTTCAGCCTCCATCCACAACAACTACTACTACTACTACTACTACTACTACTACTACTATACCTTAATACTACCAAGTCTTCTTCTTGGATAATACTATAATCACCAACCCCATCACATCACATCCCACACCCATAATCAAAATGCAGCTCTCCAAGATCCTCAGCCTCTTCACCCTAGCCACCGCCGCCTCTGCTACCACCGGTATGTCTCTGCATTTCTCTCCCCCTTCATACTTAGACACATACTAACGTGCATCACAGTCTCCTACGACACGGGCTACGACGACCCCAACCGCTCCCTCACCGTCGTCTCGTGCTCAGACGGCTCCAACGGCCTCATCACCAAGTACCACTGGAACTTCCAGAACCAAGTCAAGAACTTCCCTTACATCGGCGGCGTCGAGGCCGTAGCCGGCTGGAACTCGCCCAACTGCGGCACCTGCTGGTCCGTCACGTACAACGGCAAGACGATCAACATTCTGGCCATTGACCATGCCGGCGCGGGCGTCAACTTGAGCAAGAAGGCGATGAATGAGTTGACGGGCGGCAACGCGGAGCAGTTTGGCCGTGTGGACGCGCAGGTTCAGCAGGTGGCGTTGAGCGCTTGTGGGCTTTAGGGGATTGAAGCAAGGAGTGTGGGAGGTGGAGAGGAGGATTCAAATTCTCACTTAACGTAGGAAGTGAAGTTCGGGAAGTGGGTGGTGGGATGGATGAGGAGGCTGGTTGGATGTACGGCGGCGCCTCGAGCACACCACCCGGTGCAGGTGCAGCAGGAAAAGGAAAATGGCATAACAGGAGGGGGACCACCGAAGAGTGCACATGGTGGAGGTACCTCTAATGAGTCCTTTGCAAAGATGATGTTCGTGGACGGCACTGTGGGGACGTGGGACGAGTTTCTTGTTAGGTCGGCGTGCCTGACGGTGGCGTTTTTGCTGGTGGTGAGGATTGGGCAGATTACGGATTATCATCGTTAGTTTGGTGTGCTATGGTTAATGAATGAATGGTTATTACGTATGTTACTCACTTTTGTCCATGATTGGTTTGCTTCTCTTCGTGATGTGTGATGTTTCCGCTTGTATGGTTTATGTTGATGTTGGTAACATGTCAGCTGCACACTGGTGAACGTTCCCGTTCTGCTTAGATGCCCCCATCTTGAACTTCCCCTTATATTACTACCTATTATCCGCCTATAAATCTTGCAAACCGTCTACCTTGGAAATTATTCAGGGATTTGCTAACTTTCCCTCTGCTTCCTAGCCATTGTGTGCCGCCTTATGTTCTATGAGACGGCTGGCTGTCTGGGGGTGGTCGTGAATTGGGATTGAACATCTGTTAGCATTATTCCAGGTATTTTAGTCTCGTTGAGAGGTGGTCGGAAGAAGGAGAAGCAATCATACTAAAATTGATGAGCGGTAGTCAAATTAAGGTTAAAAAATCAGGAACGTTGGTCTAAGCACGTTTGGGGAGATACCACACCGGGCCGGCCGCTTCCAGGCAAAAGGTCGGGATGAGGGGTCGGAGGATTGGGACGAGATGTGTCGATGGAGCGTTGGGATGAAACACTGGTGTTCGATGTTTTCAATAATACAACAACATGTCTGGCCCTCCCATCGGATCCTGGAAAATGTACAAGGCTCCGTACTCGAGGCAATCGATGATTCTACATCACCAACTCGCCTCATGGGCTCCGGTGGCCTGGCATATCACAACCTTTGTATCAGTGTAAACGATCGGACGTCTGTACTTGGCGTTGTCAACAGCGATCCCGCCCTATGTCTTGAACGTTTATGTTTGTAGTATGAAAGCAAAGTTCCGCTATACATGGCATCGCGTCAATGTTTCGCAAAGACGGATGTAACAAGTTGATGAGTACCCTAGGCGCTTGATCGTGATGCTGAGCCACTAATAGCGGACCGACCAGCTCATGTCTTAACATCTGAATGTAAATAGGTACTTCCTCCCGTGACAGTTTTTGATCATACCTAACCATCGCCAACATTCCTGAGCAAGCTCGTAGTCTCCATGGACTTCAAGCCATAGGTGACTCTGTCTATTTGCACCACGTACAGGCAGAAACCCACCCACAACACGCCCTGCGCTGTTTGCCTAGCACTCGTCATACCTAACAATGACATTCCAATTATCCGTCATGAAGATCTGACCCTTGGTCAATTCCGCATACGGTCCCATGTTCCACAAACCTATACGTTGAGGGCAGTTGTTGACAATGGTCTGGGCAGCGCCAGTAATGTAGCCGAACGTGTCAATCGTTTTGCTGACAGTGTTCTGTATGCCGAAGTCCATGTCAGCAAGATGTACCTAATTTCATTCTCGAGCCTCAATAGAGACGGCAGTGTTGACGTACATCATTGCACCAGTAAGTAGCAGCACCGTATGAGCAACTGACCCGACCACAGTTACCAGGGCCAGGGCCGTTGGTCGGTTTGCCGGGAATGTTGTTTAGGTAGAACATGCCCGTTTGGATTTCCTCCAGGAAGGCCCATTCAAAGACGTCGCAAGTAATGTGATCGATCGTGTATCCGCGTGACTCGAGGGGCATGGAGAGCGAAGAGACGTTGACTGGTTGGTCAAAGCCAAAGTCGGAGATGAAGCCTGGGTTAATGGTTTTCATGTGCTTGTAGGCTTGCTCAATGGTGCCTGTAACGTTTACGGCAGGACCTCCGGGAGCAGTCTGAAGCTCCCATGTAAGCTCTTTGATGCCATACCCAGAAATGGCTGAGGCATCTTTGTTGGCAACGGTCGGTGCGGCGACAGCAGGAAGGACCTGTTTCATCATGTCAGTGTCATGAATCGTGTTGGTGGGTCAGACTCATACCAGTAAAGCAGCCAGGATACGGCCGGAGTTGATGAACGAGGACAGCATTATCACGATACTTCTCGAGGGAATATTGCAGCAAGAGGGATTGAGTGGTCTGTACCGGCGAACTTGGGCATAAGAGAAGGAAATGTTTTTCCAGTACGGATTACTCGTCCCATTTATACAAGAACCTGAAAAAGGACACTTGCAGACTTCCGCTTCAATGACCTCATGTGATTTGGCCTGGCTTCCAAACCGACGATGGTGTTTTGGGCGGTACTACGACAAAAGTCGTGGTGATTCATCGGCGAAAGGCAATGGGGGATTGAGACGCAAAGGCGACCGTACACAATCACAGTGTACGCGAATATAGAAGAAGCGGGTTGAGCTGACTGGCGGAGAGATGGTCCACTGCTTCGACCTGGTACGCCAGGAAAGGCGAATGTTGGGAGCCGCATGCACAAGCAACCACTCACCCTCTCAACCGATGGCCAACCGACCCATGACTCCATGATGGTCTATCATGACTCCAGCTGGAAGTTGATCTATTCGATGGGCCAGACTTGACTGCCAATGCAACAACGAATCTCCGGGGAAATCGCCTACATGTTGGTATGTAGAACATGGTGAACACCGCCCGTACTGGTTGGAAGACGCCGATGAGCTTGCCAGTCTGAAAAAAACGCAGCTGGTCAGGGCCAGCCAGAACGCCGCGGGAAGTTTTCAATAGAGGCTGAGCGAAACTTGTGAAGGGAAGGCAGTGAACTTGGTGATAACAAGGTGAGAGGTCAGGTATAGATTCGAACTGAGCAGGTGGTTCGGCCACATCATGACGATCAGCACGTCGGGCCACCAAATGTCTTCATAGGATGAGAGATGCAGGGACCGATGGGTGGGATGGACTTCGCAGAGCAGACCAGACTGTTCATGTTCTTGATAGAGTGCAATATGAGAAGGTAGATGTAGAATTGGAAGTAAGTGACCAAGACAAAGAAAAGAAGGTGGAATTTGATAACATCTTGCGGTGCTCCAGACGGGAGGTGCTGTCCGCAGGCATCCAACTGATAAGATAAGAGCTCCCCAAGCAGCTCCCGTCCCCCAACTTCGGAACCACTTCCTTTCCCCAAGCCCCTAGGTATGGCGTCACGCTACGGTTAGTACTCAGTGATGTGCACGGACTTTCCTCTTTATCAACACCAACACCATCATCATTATTGGATGCAATGTAAACACTCATCATTTACACCACCAACCACCCTTACAAAACAACTAGCATCTATTTTTCTTTTTTTTCAAAATCATCCGTGAACCCCAGTTATTTGACCCTTCAATAACAATAACAATATCAACAACAATGGCCCTCCCACCACCTAACCCCGTCCTCCGTCGCCAAGTCATCCAATTGTACAAAGGTACTAGTAACCTTACCTCTTCTTCCATCCTCCCCATGAATTCTTCCACTTTTCTACGAGGTACCTCTAGGCTACACTAGAGGTACCATCGATACCACCAGCACCCATCCATCCATCCATCCATCCATGATACAGAAAAAAACAGAACGGACAACTGACTGACAAAAACAAACAAAACAGAACTCCTCCACATGGGCAAAGAATACCCCCAAGGCTACGACTACTTCCGCCCCCGCCTGCACCGCGCCTTCATGTCCAAATCCAACCTGCGCGACGAAGGGGAGATCAAGCAGGCGATTGCCACGGCGCAGTTTGTGCAAAAGGAGTTGCAGGCTTTGTGAGTACCTCTACGTTGCCTTAGCCCCGGTCAAAGCGATACTAAATGGGAATTGACTTGACTTGAACAGATATTATCTCAAGAAATACCGAACGTTAAAGAAACAGTACTATGAAGTGGGGGAACCACAGGTTTTTGGGGAGTATCATCAGGTTTGAAAATAAAGGGTTAGTATCTTTTATGGGATCTCCTCGGGTGTGTCAGTGAACAGAAACGGTCATAACTCGACAGATCCTACAAGTTGTACACATAGCAGTGTCATTGGATAGCGCAAAATTTTCAACTCGGAATCAGGGAATCTTGATACGACAGATGCGACTGGACTTCACAGGTCCATCTTTCCTATATACCTATCCATATACAAGTCCATCCAAGACATCTTCCACCAGACCTACCCACCCAGATGCATCCCATCCAATCCCATCCATCCACCCATATCCAAAACACGCTCACCCTATATCCCGGCCTCCTTCCTTTCGACTCCAGAAACAGAGGCCACCATTAAGAAATTACCATTCGATCCGTCACAAATGAAACTACACCTCCCTTGACTACTCTCCCTCGTTACTTGCTCAACCTCAAACAGTCTCACCTCACCTCCTCCTAGCCCACCATACTCCAACCTCCAAACACTCTCCCCAACTCGTCCCATTCCCCTCCACCAGATCATTCATCATCTTGCCCAACCACGCATCCCACTCATCCTGACTCTTTCCCGACACATCCCTCAGTATATGCTCCAAACTCTGAATCATCTGCACAACCGTTATCAACGCCGTCCTCCTCAGTGCCCGCGCCTCCGGCCCCAACGTCTTTCCCATTCCCCCATTCGCATCCATTTGCAGATTCGAAAAACTCGGCTTTGTCGAGATAAACGCCTTTCCATCCTTGGTCACCACACCGCCCACGCCCTCGCGCTCCCAACGGACTTCTGATAGCGGAACAGCCAGCCGCTTGTTGCCCATCGCCGTGAGGGTTTCAGCTTCTTGAAGCATAATGGGGCCGACGAGGGTACAGGGCATGGACGACAGAGAACGGGCTTCGAGGGCTTTGGACAGCCAGGCGTTGTATTCCACCAGGAAATGATTGAGCGGGGAGGAGAGCGGAGTGTTGGGTGTCATTACGTAGGCTCCCATGCGGGCGGCTTCGGCGGCTTCGATTTCCTCGGGGCTTTTCTCGACTTCGTTGTCCTCGCTACCTTGGGCCGGCTGCCCATCCTCACCAGCGGCCGGCGCTGACGAGTTCTGCATATGTTCGGGGACGTGCGGCCTCAACATCCGCAGGGTATGATCGCTTTCCCAGATTTCGATGGCACCGCCCGGCGCAAGAAGGCGAATGTACTCGTCAATCAACGGCTGCTGCATGGCAGTAGTAGTGATGAGAGACACGTCCTTGCACATGATCAAATCGAACGAGCCGTCAGGAAAGGGGAAAGGGAACTTGCGGCAGTCATGCTGAACAAAACGCCAGTTCATTTGCGGGTCAGGTTGCATCCCCGAAGAGCTCGTGGCGCCACCTCCACCTGCTGCGGACAGCGTAGCAGACGAGGAAGAGGCGCGGTTGCTGCGGCGCCCTTCGCTACTGTCGCTGTTGCCCGAGCTGCTGGGTGGAGCCAGGGGAGCAATGTCAATACCCGTAAAGGAAATGCCGTCGGCCTGGCCGAGTTTCTTGTAGTGCTTGTAGCAGAGCATCGACCAAACGCCGGAGCCGCAGGCAATTTCCAGAATGCGCTTGGGTGGCTGGTCGGCGAACTCGGGCGAGCATATGGGTTTGCCAAAGAGCTGCAGAAGCAACAGCGTCCTCAGTGTCTGCCTATGTATTTCCTCGAGATCGACGGGCAGCGGGTACGCCAGCGTCGGATCGGAGATGTACGTTCGGCCGCTGCGCACAACAAATGGTCGGGCCTCGTTGTTGGCGAGCTGGTCGGGGTTCGGAAGCGGGTCGCTCGAGAGGAATGTCCGACTGCTTACCGTGGTGCCAGCAATGCTGGAGACACTTTCGGCGCGGGAGCCATCGTAACCAGAGATCTTGGAGCTGGTGCCGGACGAGAGAGGCATGGCGCCGGCTGCGCTACTGGCATGTTGTTGCCCCTGGGAATGGGGCGGCTGCGGCGGCGGCGGCACGTGACGACCACGCTCGAGGATGCTGGAGGCGGCGTGGGCGGCAAAAGCAATGGAGGCGCCGGCTCCTCCCCCGACAAGACTGAGGTTATTGCTCGTAGTGGGCGCGAGTGTGCGGGTTCCGTCACGAGAGACGGGCGACCGGGCTGACGAAGGCTCGGAAGAAGCGCTGGCAGTATTGGGGGGAGTCCAGTATTTGCTATCGTGCGTGTCGATGCGAGACGTCGCGGGGAGCTGCCTGTGGCCGTGGTGTGGGTTCGGGTGTAGGCCAGCCGTAGGTATCCAGTCGGGATAGTAGCTGCGGTGCTGGTGATGGGATGATGAGGGAGGGCTGAGGAAGTCGCGGCGCGAGGGGCGATAATGTTCGAGAGACGAGGTCGCGCGGGGTCCCGGGCCCGCCGAGGCAGATGAGGCAGAGTTGGCAGCGCTTGTGGCGGCCGCGTCGTCGCTGCGATCTGATGGTGGGTGATGTGTTCCACTTGGCTGTAGCCAAGCTGGCTTCAACAGCTTGTGCTTGTGGGAGGACGATGCTGGTGTCGATGGATGATGATGACCGGCGGCGCTGCTGACCACCTGCAGAGGAGCGCCCGAGCTGCTGCCGGTGGTGCTGGCGCTGTTGGTGCGAGCGTGGCCGTACTGGCGATGGCGTCTGTGCGAGTGAGCGCCCGAGGTCGACTTGGAGCGAGTGACGGTGGGATGGAGAGGATGCGGCGGCGCTCGACGATCGGAGGAGGACGAGGGCTGCAGCAGCTGGCCAGAAGATGAAGTCGACGGTGGAGGCGGCGGCGGCTCGACCTGGTAGGCGGATAAAGGGGCCCTTGCGGCTGCATAGCCTGACAGGAACTCCATCTTTACGGTACGGTAAGGTACCTACACTACGTGAGGGAATCTGGGCCGGTCGTCCTGGTGGACATGGAAGGCAGGGCACTCAGCCGGGCAGGCAGCCAGGGCAGCCCAGGCCAGACACAGAGCCAGCAGGGTTTCAGCAACCTAGCTCTGTAGGTAGGTACGTAGAGGTAAGTACTGTATGGAGGTAAGGTACCTACGTAGGGAGTAGGTGAGGTAAGGTAGGTAGGTAGGTAGAGGTAGTGGGTAGGTGTTGCTCGTTTCCCGAGACGGGGCGGAGGATGGAGACGGGGTCACGGTCACAGTTTGGAATGAAACAAACTCTTTTTTTTTTTTCTTTTTTTCTTTTTTTTTTTTTTTTCCCTCCCTCTCGTCCCTGTCTCTTTCCCGCCCGTCTTTCGTCTCTCTGCCCGCTTGCGTGTCCCAGTTAGGGCGTTCCCCCTCCCCTCCCCCCGTCTCCTGATTTTCCAATGGAACTGCCGGTGTGTGGGCAGGGGTTTGCTGCAAGCTGTGCCTGCCCTCCATCTGCCCACTGGTCGCCCGACGGGAATGGAGATTCCTCAGGGTGCAGTGCTAGAGGCATGTAGAGGTAAGAAGGTCCGTGCACCCCCTTCCACTTCCCCCCCGCTAGTGTAGCCGACCCCGCTGTGCAGTTCGTTGGAAACAGCGCACTAAACCACTAACAGCGGAAGATCCTCCACCCTATCCGACCGACGGGACCAAGCCTGTAAGGTACACCCGAACCTTGTGCACCTAGGGTCAATTCGGGGTTGACAGGACAGGACCTGCAGGGCACCCGGGGGGCGTGAACCGCTTCTCCTTCGTTGGTCGAATTGGTTCCCTTCCCTTGCTCCAAACAGCTGGAGCACCTAGCCAGTGAGCCAGCCAACTGTAACGTAACTGTGGACGGTGACCAAGGGTTTTTGTTCTTTTTGACCGACCCGATGCCATGTGATGCGATGCTACCTTCCCTTCTCTCTTCTTTTCTTCAATCCAACCCACCCTGTCTCCAGGCTGTATGTACGGTGGCTGCCGGATGTTGCGATCCTGCGGCCGCTATCGTTGTAACCCCGGCCGGACTTCCCGTCCGTCTTGTTTCTGCAATGCAAAAGCACCTTCTGCACTGAGAAGGGATTCCGAAGCACGCTAGGTAGGTAGCTACGTAGGTATTTATTTGGTTGGTGGTAATGTTTGGAAATACCTACGTAGCCTCTAGGGTGATTGACCCCTTTTTGATGAGCCTTTGTTTCGGTCGGTCGTCTTCAATCCCGCTTCAACAATAATGACAAGCGACGATGGGACCTGAATTGAAGGATTCTGAATTATCCCATCCGATTGGATCCCCTACACTGCCGTCACTTGTCGTCCCGTCCTTCCTTTGGATGATACCTTGTAGGTGGCGGGACCGAACTTTCCAAAATTTCACTTCGTCCTCAACTCGGCTATCGACCTTGGCTTCCTTTCTTGCAAGTGAAGAGATGTTGTTACTCGCCTTCCAGTGGAATCGATGCGTGGAGTTGGACACGGAGATCCAAACAACAAGACAAAAATAGAGTTGGCACTTGGCTTGCAACGCTTGGAAACAAGGCAAGGAGTAACAGTGACGAAAAGGCCGGGGGGAAGTAGTGTACACTATCAAACACAGCCCTTTTTGCTGTCGATCATCGATTCAAACAAGGAGCGAGCGGGCCCCGAAAGGTGCACTTGTTAGGGCGCGTTCGGTAAACCAGTAAATGCACCAGTAAAGGCTTCCAGTAAATGCCTTTTACAGGGTAACGCACTGGCCAGATCGTAAATATATATGGCGGTAAGCTCCGCCTTAGTATTAACCCACTTTTAGTACTTTCTTAAGGGGATTTCCAAAATCTGTTCGAATCGCTAGAAATATAGAAGCGGTCGTATCTAATCATCTATATATAATCTTGGTGTTGTTATTAAACAATATAGATCTTTTTCTTTCTTATTACTCCCCGTTCGTCACCACCCTTCTTTATGTCTGTTGAAGAACGAAATCCGCTTATTTTTACACTCAAATAAGTAACAGCCAAGTTTCGCAAGTAATACAAGAGGAATCCCAGATAATAGGGTCTCAATTATTGTCACAAGGCAACTAGCTTCCCCTAAACTAGCTCAACCTATTTCCCTATAGTCAGTCTACCCCCCCTTCTAACTAGTCCCAATTTTAAATTAGAGGTAAGAAGAGGAATTGTACGGTTACTAAGAATTAGATATAGAATAGCGAATAGGAGGTTTACTTATTTACCTTCTTAAAAAATATTGCGAATAATAGGGTAACTAATTAGAATAGTTATAAAGATTAAGTATATAATAATTTCGTAAAGGATATAATTAAATAGTTTAATATTAAACTAAATAATAATTAAATCCGTAATAAAATCGACTAATTTTATTATAAATAGCGTATATAGTTAATTTTAAAGAATTACTCGTAATTAAAGTTCGGATTTAATCTTAATACTAATACCGCAATTATTCCCAACGAAATATAGGATTTACTAATCGAAGTTAATATATTATACTAACCGGGCATAGATTTGGACTATATATACTAACCCTAGTTAATAGAAGAATAAAAAGGTCGGCTAATTTAAGAATAAACCTTTCCCGTACTGTAAATTCATAGAAGAAACTTTTGCTAATAACTAAGGTACTACCGGTAAATATACTAAAACTTTAAGCGTATTATTAATTATTAGAGAAAGTTAGGCGCTTACCCCCCTATTTAAATTTAATAATAATAATAAAGAATCCCCTTTACTTATCCCTATTTACGTTTATAATAGTAAAAGGAAGGTTGCCACTTCTAATAATAATCCCAAAAAGAAGAAGAAAAAAATTGTTAACAAAATAGTCGCTAAATATATACGGGTATTAACCAAGGTAGTAAGAGAGATTATTCAAAAGCCTGCCCCCGCCCCGCAATTTAACGTATAGCTTAATAAGGCGCTTGAACTCTTCTATAAGAAGTAAGAGGATAGAATTAATAATATTATTATTAAAATCGCGTTTTGTAAATAGGAGGAGTCTAATAGAAAAGTGCGCTATTTTGTAAAGATATTTAATAAAAAGAAAGAGGTATACTTTTAATTATTGAAAGAGAGGATTAAAGGGGGTAATAGTATAGTTATTGGAAGAGGAAGCTTTTATTTTAAATACTCTAATTTTATCGATCCTAAATTATAATAAATTTAAAAATATATTTATTAGTAGGGTATAGGCGGGAGGGAGCGGGAAGTAGGTTAATCCCGGATTTTTATATTTTATTTTTTTAATATACTTTTTCTACAATTAAGCAAAACTACTACAAAAAATCGTATTTATAAAAAAAATACACTATTATAATCGCTAGAATAAACCGAATTGATATATCTACTTTATATTAAATTTAAGGCAATATTACAGGAAATACAAATATTATTAATAATTTTAGGATCTCGGTCAATAAGGAAGTCGAAAAGCTAAGACCGTACTAATATTACTTAATATATCAAATATATTCATTTAAAATTTGAAATATTTTAACACTTTTTACACTTACACGCACTCAATTCAAGAAGGCCACACTCTAGTACTCTAGGGGGGTAATCCAATAATTTAAATTTATAGCTCGATATATACAATAATAATCAATTTAAATACTTTAAAGGGTAATTTAAACAATTAGTACTAAATTAAACTATTTATTCCCAAACCCTTATTTACACTAGTAAATTAATTCTCCTCCTCTCTCTACTACTAAATTTAACCCCCTCTCTTACACAATCTAAATCTCTACCTCTCTCCCCTTCTATTAAACTTATCGCAATAACTCCTCTATATTTATTTCACAATATAATTACGCAATTAAATTATATACCTATTCGCGCCTCCCCTCCACACCTTATTAATATAGTTATTCTAATTCTAATCCCTTTAATTATCCTAATATATACTAATTCTACTAAATAACTCGCTTTCTTTACCGATTATATTATAGAATTTCACCTTCTTATTTATTATTAAATTATAGTACTTATTGAAGAGTTCGTTATACTTAAGAAGCTAATTCAATACTACCGTAATTGCAAAAATAACTTTCACTTATATATTAATATTGAAATTAAACGAATATTGGTAAATATAGAACGTACCCTTCAATCTACTAATAACCTTCTCCATAATAATATATATCTAACTATAACGAAGGTTAAAAAACTCTTCTATTATTACTAATCTAAACCCCGCCCTTACAATTTTTTAAAGGTAATATTGAACACTACAATACGGCACGAGTAAATAGTTACTAGGGGTATACCCCACGTTGGTAAAGTAATACTAACTTTAAAAGATACAAAACCTACTTACTCCTTACTATATAAAGGTACTATTAAGAACCCTTATATTATTAATAGAACCCTCCCAACCAAAGAGGATATATATAATATAATTATTAAAATTATATACAATCAATATATTAATTAAATATATACTTTTATAATTACGCTAAAAGCTCGCGAAAACGTTGAAACGCGGGTACTTGGTCGACGACAGCGACAAAATCGTTTTTGACATTAGAATCGTATTTAGGACGTCTAATTACCCCCTTCTACGATATTGTATTAATTGTGTATTGAAAGCGCGGGTGTCGGGGCGACTGGAAGCGTTGGGGGCGGGTTAGCGTCGAGCCGATACGTACCCGGGGTGGCCGGAGCCGATATAACGACGATAATACTCCGAACTGGTATAGAGTTAGTAGAAGCTTTAGAAACTTTAGGCCTATTTTAGGAAGAACGAAAGAAGTTTATAAAGGAGGCTATAAACTTTCCCGGTATTAATAGCCCGCTTGCTGCCCGGGCGGTATAAGTTGAAAAATTCTTCGAAATTATAGTAGTTACCCTACGTACCCGAAGTTAGAGCCTTTAAACTATTAATAATAATATAAAATAATTCTAGGACAATATTAATAAATTGAAAAAGATAATTGCCGAAATTGCAAAGATTTAGAAGTCCCCCCCTTTAAAGTCCTAAGCTATAATTATTACGGGCCTAAACACCCCCCCTATAAATATAAAGAGACCCTATTTTATATTAATAGGTATTTAAACTATTATTCCCCTCCGGGTTGAATGGTACTTAATAGTAAAATTAAATAGAAAATTTTTATTAATTAATAAAGAACGACGAATAATAGTAGAAACTATTGATATAATTAATAAAAAATATTTTAAAGTTAAAATTAAGGCGGTAATAAAATTACGCTTTAGTAAAGATTATATAGTAATATTTAATAAGGAAGGTAAATGTTAGAATTTTAAAAATTAA